GGCAGTTTGTTCAAAGTTGCCTTGACTCCTGCTGGTTCCCTCTCACCTACAGCACCAACTTTGACTTCTACACGTACAAGCACAGTACTGGTAGCACCAGCTGCATTGATGTCATTGCCGTAACGGATTTACTTAAGGAAACGATAGCCCCGGTTCAGGCCACTGAAGTGCTTGAAAAAGGGCATTCGTTCGTCCACACGTCAATCCATAACAACTTTCAGCAAAAACCCACTTGGGAAGTCTATCATCAGGTGGATGTCAAAGTTAGTGACAACTGTGAAAATGAATGGCAGGAAACACTTGCTTCTTACACTGCTAAAATCTCTAATACCAACGTTGATGCAGATTGGGAAATGTGGTGTCAAACCTTTCAGAAAATTCATAATCCAGACGGAGCTGTCCTAGGACTGCAACCTCGCTTTCGATTGCGCGAGCAATTCAAACATAGCAAGTTGCATCACCAATTAGGAATGGCTATTAAAAACCAGGACTGGGTTCAACACAAAAGCATCCTTTCTAGACTTCAGCAGATTACCAAAAATCAGCTCAAAAAGTGGAGATTGAAAATTCAGAGAAGTGGACAATCACAACACTCCTGGACTAAAAATCTCTTCAGATGGGCTCGAGTTCCATCACCACCTATTCCTTCTTGCATTGCGAGTGTAAAATATGGACAGAATGGCTTTACAACTTGTTTGCACGATTCTCTTGAGGAAATTACCAGTTTCTTTGAGAAAGTTTACAAAAGTAATCAGGCGACCTCTCCTGCAAGGCAAGAAGCACCGTGTCAGCATCACTGTGATGCGGAGCAAATTTTGACTATTAACCAGCATATTCAGACTATCCTCTCAAAAGCTGATGCTTCTAAAGTCCCGGGATTGGATGGGCTTGAAATTGCACATCTCAAGCTTCTGCCCTACTCTGCGGTGCTTTTCCTGGCACATATTTTTTACAAGTCCATTCAACAGCATCGTGTGCCCTTGGCATGGCTTAACTGCAAAATGACTTGCATACCTAAAAAGCAGGGTAAGACATCTGTTAAAGATCTTAGACCTCTGACAATCACGCCTGTATGTTATAGGATTTTCTGCAAAACCATTTTGCTTATGTGTCGAGAATCACAGCAAAATATTTCTGTACATTCAGTCGGAGGTGTTTGTGGAGGGTCTGGTTTTCATGCATGGCTGCCTGCAGCGCTCATGTGTGAATCAACTTGGCGCCTTGACTCAGTGGTTCGAGCGACAATTCAAGGAGTAGCCATTGACACTGAGAAATTCTTTGATAACGTCCCTCCAGATAAAGCATGCGAGAGCTTACTCCACATTGGTGTCCCGACTTCTGCTGTGGCTACATGGCAGTTTATGATAACCAACGTTCGAAGATATGCTTCGCTTAACGGTTCGGTCTCCAAAAATGCGTTCGGGGCTTCTTTAGGCATTCCGCAAGGTGATCCTCTAAGTATGCTCGCTGCGGCTACAATGTTGGGTGCATGGGCTAATGAGATGCCTCATCGTGACATTTTCGCAAAGGTCTTCGTGGACGATCGTCTCATGCTTGGGAGCAACTCACAGCAGTTACAGCACGCCTTCCACATCACCCAGTTTTGGGATGGTTCGTTTGAATTTAAGACTGAGGCCAAAACTGTCGCTTTTGGAGATAATCCTGCAGTTGAAAACCTTTGGTGGCTTGATGGTTACGAAGTTAAAAGACAAAAGCAGATTGTGTATCTTGGGATACCACTCCCCCTTAAGAACACTTCTGCCTCTAATTTTTTCAAACCCATCTTGCAGGACTGCTATGTTCTTCTGAACAAAATTGCCAGATCTCACATTACTCATGACAACGCTATCACCATTGTTGCCAGAAAAATCATGCCTTCCATTTGTTACCCTTGTACTGCCGTCAGGCCCACTAAAGCACAAATTGAAAACTTGAGATCAAAAATATTTGAAGCGACTGCATTTCGCAAATGTCAAACTCAAGCCGCGCATAGTGTATTCTGCGAGCAAACACATCTGTTTGATCCAGAAAGCGCTATGGTTTATCATAACATGAGGTTTTGGAGACAAGTATTCATTCAAGCACCGATGCTTGCACAGCAACTTAAAGACATGCTTGCGCAGTCAATCCCTTCTAAACATGATCTCTATGGCCCCATGACCATCTTTCAAAGAGACTTGGATTGGCTATGCTGCCGCTTTTCGCCTGATGCGGATGCTATAAGCAGTAGTGACAATGATTGCATACTTCTGACTGAGCCTGACAAAAAGAAATTTGAACATTTTATCCGTATTCAAATTCGGATGCGATTTTATCAACATCTAGAGCAAAAACATTTGAAGTGGCAAGGAGTTGTTGACGTTGATTTGCAAGCAACTACAAAATTGCTCAGAAGTTTAGAACCGTCCTCGCCTTTTAGGAATCCGGTCATTCGGATGTTATCCGATGCACATGCTACTCCTTATAGGCTCTATCAGATGGGTATCAAAACTACACCGCACTGTCAATATTGTCTTCATGAAGAGGGCAATATTAAACATATCATGTGGGATTGTCCGCGGTTTGCTGAGCTAAGGCGCTCTTGGCCTCAGGAGCTCCTTGATCGTAGTCAATGGCCGGAATGTGCCAAATCAGCTCTGATTTGTTCAACTCTTCTTCCTGAATCCACGCGCAGTAAATGGCATCAATTCCAACTTCTCGTTGCACAGCTCTTGTACCAATGGATGGAAATGAACAGAAACCCTGAAAGTTACCAACAATTTGCGCCTGAGGAAAATCAGCCAAATGGTGTTTCAGCGAATGTTCTGCATACACAAAACAGGCAACAGTGTGAACTGTGCTTTTCGCAGGCTCTTCCTTTGCAATGGAACCCCCTGGTACACGAACTGAGTGGAATAAATGGGGCAGCTCCGTTAAGGATTTTGCGCTAATTTTCTCTTTCTGGACAAAATGGACTGACAAAGCTTGTAATGCCGCTGTCAAAATTCGCACTTGGACTCAAGCACTCGCTCTTTTCGTACAATATGGCGGAGTTGAGGCTGATTTTTTGGGTCAATGTCAATTTATAGGCATGGCTGCTTATAAGTTAAGAGTGCTCACTTCCTTTCTGTTTCAAACACAGCAACAAAATCCCGAGCTACACGGTATGACTTTCCCCAACGAAAGTCAAAGCAAATGGCTCGAAGCCTTCCCGAGTGAAACGACGTTCCCTGATTACTTGTTTTTCATACCGGAGTGGGATCTTTTGGACGCCTCCAACAACATCCAAAGACTTCGAGTTGAAGCTCGGATGGCATCCAATGTTAATCCGCAAGTACTTCGAGTCACAACTGTGGATTTTTGCGAGGCAGTTGGACTTAAATCAAAAATTCTTATGAACAATCCCTTGTCCGAGAAGTGGCCTATTCCCAGATTCAGAGGGAAGAGCGCTCCTATCCCTTGGATTCAACAAATTCGTGCCCTCAAAGATGATTTTGCTCATAATCGTGTTACCGAAAAGATTAGTTGCGTCACACAGATTGCTCTTGAAAGGTGGCTTGCCATGTCTCCCCAGGAAATTCGAAGTGCACTGCCGACCAAACCTGGTCCTATCAAAAGGTTTAAAGCTGCCAAAAACCGCATTACTAGATTTAAAGATGTTCTTGAGAGATTTAAGCAAGATCAGATCCTTGAAAACGATTTCCACACACATCTTATTGAACCCGTATGGGCACCTGTCGAGGTCTGTGCAGGTTGCTGCAAGGTTCTTAACTTCTCTGCCGAACCGCGCAACATTACTCGCAGATGCCATGGCACCGTCCATTTTCCTGTACAGTTGCTCGACAACTGGTCATTAAAATATGATTCCATGTTGCGAGACATAGAAGGTATCATTACTAAGCTAGCCTAGCTAGCCGTGGCTCATAAGCAGCTGCGCTATTGATGGATGCACCAGTCATCTTAAGATTCGTTCGCCTCAGACGCATGTCCGACACACCCCCAAACCCTATTCTAATTATTCAGGCCCCTATACTACAGAACCCTACTAAAGGTCCCTTTAAGGAACCCCCTTAAAGGGCACCCTATTCGAATTAGTAAGGCTCTTACATCACCGCCCCTGAATCCTGACTCATCTTCAAGCCGCGCAGGTTCCTCCTTTTCCGTAGAAGGCCTGTGCTCCACGAGTTTAGACATGGGGAGTTTCCGAAAATGAGGGGACCTTATTTGGGGTACTCATAACAAGGATCCTATTATCTAGGGTACTATATTCGGGTTTCCTATTTTCGGAAACTCCTACATGGGGGGGCCTTAGTAATAAGAATAGGGTTCCTTTAAAGGGTTCCTATCAGGGCTCTACAGTACATGGGGGCCTAGATAAGTCGCTACTTCCCCACCCTACTCTAATTATAAAGGCCCCTATATTTGACAGGGGGTTTAGGGCTTCGGGGCGTAAGGGTTCTGAGCTTACGGCTCACTCAGGGCTCCAAGTTTGAAGTTCGGGGGTTTAGGCCCGGGCTAGGGGTTTTAAGCGGTTTAGGGGAGTCGCTTTCAGGGTGTTGGAGCTTTGTCTTTGGGTTGGGAGTTTCGGCAGAGCTTACAGTGATGATTGTTCCGAGGTTAAAAGCTTAAACGTATAGGCTTGTATAACCTTTTCAACGTTCGAGCCCTTGGCTCTAAAACCAAGCATTTGGCGGCATGCTGTTGTCTGTTTTGCAGATCTGGCACGGAGGGCTGATGGTGTAAAGGGGTTCCTGTGCTGGGATGCAACCTTACAAAAGCCTGAGCGTTCGAGAGTGTATACTAGGCCTTACCCAGAGGGTCCATATACACTACCATTATTGGAATTAGATCCCAAAAGACCATCCCTATTATGGTTTTGTGGTCCTAATTCCATAGTGGTAGTATATGTGGACCCTGTGGGTTACAATATCTTTACTTCAGGGCCGGATCTCTAATTGCATGTTTTGATATAGGATGGAGAAAGTCGCTGTTTTGCGGGCCAGCCAGTGTGAGCCAAAGCGATGTTGCAACGTGAGGCCTCAAATCTCTAAACCTCTACTTAACCTTAGCCACCAAGCCCTGAAGCCCAAATCATACCAAGTTCCAACTTCCCAACCTCAAAGCCCACATATACACCCTAAAAGCTGCTCAACCTGCAACCAAAGTTGCTTTTTCTCCCTCTCGCTCTCGCTCTCCATCCCTACCTTCAATCTTTCTTTACATGTGTGCATGGCAAAGGGCAAAGGTGTACTTGGAGGTTCATGGGTAGTTGTATGTAGGGCCATATGTGGGGTAACTCTGAATTTAACCCGTATTAGGGGCTTATAACTGCCCTTGCTTCTCGTTGGCTCTTAGGACGTTAACTTTTTGGGTTTCTATATTAACTATAATAAGGAGGCTAAAAGTTTAACTTTTAGCAGGGGTTCAGAAGTCAGCCAAGTACCCATGAGCCTCCATGTAGTATGTATAGGCACTTTGACTCCCCTGAACTCCTCTCCTGGATTGCACGCAGAAGCAGCTGGAGATGCGCCTACGACGAGAGTGCAAGCCTCCCGATTACCATAGGGGCCTTAAAAATTACCTATACTATTTTAAGGGTTCCTGATTCCTAATTATAATACTTATAGCATAATATATGAATAATTACCTATACTATTTTGAGGGTTCCTAATTATACTTATAGCATAATATATCCCAGCGCAACGCTTTCAACAGCAGCAATGCGATACTTAGGGAGCGGCAGCAATGCCGAATTCGAAATGTAGACGGGGCAGCAGTGGTAACGGGTGGTGTACGGGATATAAGATTTTCTGGTTAAGAATTTCAGTGTTCATAATTTGTGGCATGGGCTGAAGTTAGTTCAGCGGGTCTTTGCCAAGCTGACAATTCCCGAAAAAGGGCTTCTAGCATATCCTTGTCCTATACTCTAACCTCTAAACTCGATCCCCAGACCCTAAACCCTAAACCCTTGGCCGCTGCCTACACTTTCTATCCGTAGGGATCGACAGCCCTTCGTAACCTCTTTTACCAGAGAAGAATTTCAAGCAAGAGCAGGACGCCATGGATTCTCTTATGGGTTTTGGGCTTCGGGGCAGGCACGAGGCCAGTCGGCAGCGTCGTGTACTCACACAGCTCCCTAGGCCTTCATCATCAGGCCTTCCTGATGATGCTGTTGCGGGTTGCACTTATGCGTTGCAGTCGTCCACTAGCTGCCTGACCCCGAGTCCACATCTTCTAAGTCTTTCATTTTGAGGACGTCATTGTGGAAGGTGACGAGGAAGATGACGACTGGGAAACATTGCGTTCAACCAGCAAGGCAAGCCGCTGTCTGGACTTTAAGGCTTGAAGTTTTGGTGGCAATTTGGGGCTAGCGTTGACCGGGGACATACCGGCTGTGTAGGCGGCTGAGTTTTACGTGGAGACACGGATGCCAAGCTCCGAACAAACAACTTGTTTTCCATGTTGGCGGACTTCCAAAGCCTGAAACCCTCTTGCGAGCCACAGGCTTCTAGGACGCGGTTTTGGGCTCAGGGTTTCGGGTTGAGGGTTTAGGGTTTTGGGGTTTTGGGTTTAGAGTTTGGGGCTTAGGGTTTAGGCTTTAGGGGCTTTGGGTTTAGGCGTTAGGGTTTAGCGTCTAGGGTTTAGTTTAATCGGACACCTTCCTGGAATGTCACTGGATTTTGAGATAACACTAGTTCCTACCCTGTACTGCAGGCTGTAGCGCTGCAGAGCCCCCTGAACATGTGGTACGGCTCGCCGGCTCGCCTTGTCAATTTAAACACAAATGCCGGTGAGGCGCATATCGCAATCTCGGGCCTTAGCGATTCGAATCGGTTCTTGAGGTGATATAGGACAAGTGTTGCAAGCAGCCCAAAAGGAATTTGTAGTAAGACTAAGTTGTTCATGCTCCTGCAGTGCTCAGGTGCCAAGGCCCTTCTTCAGAGATCCGTTCGCTGGGCGGCGGGTTTTGACTCAGACTTGAGGTTGACGTATCGGGTCCAACGCGGCTTATCCGAATTGCAAAGGCTGTCTGACCATGAGGCCCTCGTTATAAGTGCTCATCCTTAATTAAGAGCATGTATCAAAAGCTCTCCTAACTTCAATGAAGCCCTGACGGCTAAACCCCCAAACCTGAACCTCTGTGTAGCGTCCCTGAACCTCTGCAGGTGTTGCCAAGCAATATCAGCCGACCTTCGCAGAGACATGATGATACCGGTCTCGATGGCCCCTTGTGCTTCGTTAATTCGACGGTTCAGGCGTTACGGGTTTAGAGGTTTAGGGGTTAGGGGTGTAGGCTGTAGGGTTGAGGTTTTGGTTCACGTCTGTATTTCGGTATCTGGATCTACGGTAAACTGCAAAAACCTTCTTCCCGAAACTCTAAACCGTAATTCAGTACTCGCTGCTTGTAGCGGGACCATGGTGCGGCCACTTCCGGTCGGGGATTTAAGCCGTGCTTGTGCCTCCAGCAAGTCGACGGCGGCCTTTTCAGCTATACACACATGAATACGTATGAATGAACTGTACGCATCTGTTGTACAAACATAGGTGTACCTGTCTGCATGTTTGCATGCTTGCACATCTGTAATTGCCTGTGTACTCTATGTACAGTTGCCTTTGAAGTACCTGAGCACGCATGTGTGGATGGATGGATGCATGCATGCGGGCCCATGTGCATGCATGTAATGCATGTATGTACGTGCATTTATGAAGTGTTACAATCATTCCGTTAGGTTTGCATAGCGCAAGAGGCATGTGGGGGTTTAGGGGTTGAGAGTTGAGGCTTGCTAATTTTATAAAGTTAAAAAGGGTGTCGGGTTCTTTTGGGAGAGGAGTTGCGGATGTGAAGTTAAGGGCCGGGGAAAGTAAGGAATGCATCCAGAATATCTGTATCAATCACCCCAACTGCAGTTGGAAATTACCTCAAGGGGTTGTGGTCAAAGTTTATCCCAGTACTACCCTGTTTATCAGCAGCAAGATTGTTTTGAATGTCTTTTTGTTCGTCTACCGACAAACAGTGGACTGGTTTGTTATTGATATCATTCTGGTTGTGGTATGTAAGCTTTTTAGTGTTGTTGCTACTTTCATCATTACCATGATTGTTATTAGTAGTCATAGTTGAAGCAGTAATCATCAGGTCTGAACGCAGCAACAGCAGCATCCGCGTGTTTTGACAAGAAAAGTTACAACGTTAGCATGCATTGCTGGACATGGCAAAATGGAGTTGCTCGTCGCTAGAAGAGCAACAAAAGCAACATTGCTGGGGCTAGGGGTCGTGATGGTGCCGGCAATCTAGCTGCTGGCCCCTCAACCCCCAACACTAATTAAACCATCTACCACAGCCCAGCCGCTCACCTAAAGCTGTTTGGTCGTGCTTGCAAGGCATGCTGCACGCCACGGACCCGAGTTACAGAGCTTATGGTTGGGATTTCGAGTCGGGGATTCGGCCTTGGGTGCGGAGTTTCTGTTGAGGAGAACCATGTTTACGATTTGTGGTGGGTTTTCGTTGATGAGGGCATCAGGGTTCCTGTTGCGGTCCTTGTAGTAAGTTTTATAGTGGAGCTCCTGGTGTTATGAACCTGCCCGCAAATTTTGCCCAGCGCAGAGAGCGGTGTTTTGATCATTTTGATAGCCTTACATTTACATACTTCTAGCTAGTAAGTTACAAGAAATGCTACTCCTATCCTCGGCGTGGAAATGTGCCCGTTTAGGATTGCTACATGCCTGCATTGCAAGGCAACATATGCCGGGCAACTGCATACAGTTGCGGGTCGGGGAAATACGACCAGATCTAGGAATCGGCGGCAAGCTCTTCCATGGCAAACGCAGCAGCACTGTGTTACAATCTCATCAGCACCCGATATGTCGTAGACACGGACACGTCATAGCCCAAGGTCTAAACTGAAAGCACGACAGCAATCTCGCGTAGGTGTCAGGATCTCTAGCCGTGGAGAAACTTCTCTGGCAGTACAAGCCAATCTTCACGAGCCTCGGCTGCCCGCTGGGAAGTAGTGAGCTCTCGAGATTGCAATGGGGGGATCTCGTTTTCCCAAGGTGCTCAGCTTGCGCATTGAAATTTTGAGCTTTTATCGTTCGGGCATCGTTTCTGCGTCCTCCAAGGATATCGCAGCTGGTCCTGGTGTCAGCCTCAGTCACAGAACATGGCGACAAACTACAACGAAGAAGACGGTGATGGATACGCGTACAAACTGGTTGCATGCATTCGAACCTTTCAGATGACTCGCAGGAGAGATGGAGCACTTTTACCGGCGGTTTAGGGTTTAGGGTTTAGGGTCTTGATAGTATAGTGTTCTTGTGCTGCCGTTCTCTCCAAAGACCTGCTCTTGTTACTGCTCATCCTGCTCATGCAGACATACCTGGCATCAGCAAAATCAGAAGGCACCCGTCTAGTCCGGACATTGTTGTGCCTGGTATGGCACCCTCCTCCTCATCGTCATCATCAGAATAATATCATATATACTCAGTATACAGTTCATGATATTGTTATTTATTGTGAATGATGTCGATCACAATCAATATTCTCGCTGCGCCAACTTTATCGGCATGTTTACACGGATGCAAATTACGTAAGGTGTGGAGCAGTGAGAGGCTAGCTGTTTAGGTGGTGATGTTGCTTGTTATCACTGAACTTTCCTGTGGCATGAGCACCACGACTATGACAACGAATGCCAAGCCCGATGATAGTCAGACGGGGCTATGATGCTGATCACTGCTGTGTTCTTGAAGATGTATTCGCAAGCCCATCAACTCTTGACCACAAAACCCTAAACCCTAAGCCCGGAAGCCCCACAGGCTTGCGGTGCATGGGTGCTTCTGCCGCTCTTCAATCCAGATTCTGCGAACGACGCAAGATCAGGTGGATTTAGGGACCCCAAAAGGACATAAGCATAAGACTTTTATAGGGACATCCCTATCTTGGTGGGCTTCATTATAAGGGGGTTTATATGGGAAGGTGGATTGGGTTAGCACAGACATGCCAAAGCCATAGGGACCCAATGCCCTAAAGCACCCAAGCAAGCCAGAGTTCAGGGTCACTAAAAGTTCAGGTTTCGAAGACTGTTTAAGGTTAGTTAGCTTTTAAATTAGTAGGTCACTTCAAGGTTCGCAGATTGACGCGGCGAAGGGTTGTGCCGCCTAGTACCCTTACTAAGGCAACCTTAGCCGACGAACCACGGCTGCGAACAGCCTGCTTCATCGTGGCCATGTCCGAAAGTGCACGAAGCTGGTTGGTATTCACAGATTCGTTCAAGCTATCGGTCTGGCAAATTTGCTTCCACCCATTTCTACAATAATGGGAAGCCTGCGTGACCCAGAGAAGTTGGCAGCTGGAGGGCTGGCCGTCCAAGACTTTCCAGGTAGCTCGCAGGTCAGCAGATGATGCAGAGGTATTGGAGCAAGATGAACTCCTGGAGCCCATGAGCCTTGCACAGCCCTAAACCCTAAAGCCCTGAACCCTAAACCTGATGCCTTCTGTAGGTTGGGAGTTCAAGGTTTACTGTTCAGTCGAGTGTTCCGAACTCCGGTACACCGGGTTGAGAATGTGGAGTTTGCGGCCTATGATTTGAGTTGTGAGGTGTTATTGGCTTGCGGGTTTAAACCCTAAGCCCTAAACCCTAAAGCTCAGGGTCTGGGGTTTGGGCAGAGGGGCTGCGGGCGCCACCTGCGCCAACACAATCGAAGACCGTGCGCCCAAATTGCCATATGGGTTGTTCTCTAGATTGGGGTCCCTTTCAGGGTCCATTTTCGAAGGGTGCCGTACTATTAGGGGGACCTGAAATGCGCCCATAATTTGGAGAACTATTCATATCATCATGTATAGTTTCCCCTACACATCAGGAGACCTGGTAGTAGAAGCTTGAAGAAGCACCAATGGCGAACTTTCGGATTTCGAAGAGGAGTGTAATTCGGAAGCTGGAACCATAACTAATTTTGTTTACTAGAATCTACCACCAAATCCTAATCTAGTGGCAACGGCTCCTATGTTTGGTAGGTTGGAAGTTCTTCTCCGACGAGAGCCCGATGATGTGCTTATGTTACCTGCTGTCCAGCTTCCGTTCGCCTTTAAAGAGACCCTACATGGCTCAGCCTTCTCGCAACGAACCCTGAACCGTAGGCTTCAAAGTTTAGGGTTTTGGAGTTTGGGATACAAGTACTCCAGATAGCTGGAAGACTTCATGTCTCAAAGATATCCCTTATAATCCCTATATGCTGATACTGGAATATAACCCCCGAAAGGCTTTTGTATGAGCCCTTCATCTCTCTGTTCCTTTCTTGAGAGTTGGGAAACTTGCAACGTTACACAACGGGCCTTAGGTGATGTAGGGGTGATCCTCCAAGAAAGTTACCTAGATAGTAGGCTACTGGCTTCTATTCTTTGTGTAATGCTTTATAGTCACAGTATAATCGCTCATGAAATAAGCCAGTGGGCTTCTATAGGGGATGCAACCCAGAAGAATCCCCGGCCAGGAGGCGCGGGCTTAGAGTCCGTGGCTCAGACACGTTCCGAAGAAATCCTTAGCTGGTCTGAGGATGTTCCGAAGCTCTGCAAACCCCGGACATGACTCTTAATGCAGAAGCTTAATAGTTAGTAGCAGTATTCCTTGGGGTTCCTTATTGTGGTTCTACTATAAATTGCCCAAAACCCTATTCTAATTTTTGAGGCCTCTATATTACCACCCGGAATCTGAGAATTGGAGGGTTTTTGGACCCTAAACCCCAAGCCCTAAATCACAAATCCTTAACTCCTAAACCCTACACCCCAAACCCTAAACGCTAAACTCCGAAACCCTTCACCCCCCAACTCTAAACTCCTGAACCCATTAACCCCAAACTCAAAACCCTAATATAGGGGCCTTAATAATTAGAATAGTGTTGGGGGTTTATTATACTATAATTATAGTAAGAAGCCCCCAAAACCCTATTCTAGTTATTAAGGCCCCTACATTAAACTCCAGGCCTTCAACTCCCACACCGTAAACCCTAAGCTTGCATCCAAAGACTAGGCTCCCAAAACCTAAACTCCCTAAACTTTAAACTCCAAACCCGAAAAAACTAAGACCCTAAACTCCTAAACCTTAAACTCCCAAACCCCAAACCCTAGACCCTAAACGCCTACACCGTTGCACGATTTGGGCCAGGGGCTCCATGCCAGGACGGGAGAGTCTTAATGCGGGTTTCATTCTCGGGAGGTTCGGGGTGGGGCTGTGGGTACAGGGTGCAGTGACGAAGGCTCCAGGACTGCTAGGGTGAATCTAGTTGTATTGGTTGCAGAGACCTGTGAAAAACCTGTCAAAGAAAAACCTGCCACAAAGCCCGTACCAAGAGACGGTGAAGAACCCACCCACCAACCCCACCCCCCTCCCGCCCCGCCAAAAGAGAAGATTAAAGCACCCCGTGTGCAACTCTGCCACTCCTTGGATTGACCCTGAAGCCTAAACCCTTGTAAACCCATACGGTTTGTTTTAAGAAGCTTCTCCAATGCTAAACCGTAAATCAGAAACCCTGAACCCAAAACGAATCCCAACACCTAGTATACAGATTCCAAAGGGCTTCTTATCCTATTTATGGTAGAGCAATGCACCACGAAAGCCCTGTTCTAATCACTAAAGTCTGTACTTTGCACACCTCTAAACCCTAAACCCGATACCCAAACCCCGAGAGCCCTACACCCTAAGCCCCGGTACCCTCAGGTCTCTTTGGCCGGGCGACACGGCCTTTCTGCTGCAGCGAGACTGCGCGGACCTGCGCTACCAGTGCTGGAGGCTTTTCAATGGCAATGGTACAGTAACTATTGTAAGAGGTTTGGCTTTTGGACAAAGTACAATATATACATATCGATATATACACACACTCACAGTATTTAGATTTCTCAATATTGACACACACACAGACATACACTCGTACGTTCATACATACGTGCACTCATACACACAGGCTTTATAGGGGCTTGAGGAGCCACCGCAAGGTATTTAGTAGGATTTGACAAGGTTGCGTTTTCATAGGGTGTTGAAAATAAAGGTTGGCGTATGCAGGGTCTTTTTCGCACTTTGCATTTAGGGTCTATCCTAGGGCCTAGGGTGCTTTGTGTTCAGTAACTCCCTGTGCTCTTTGACGTTGTCTTGGACGTCAGGGCTTCATGTGGGTGGTTGTCAAAATTATGGTACCTTTTTGGGTCCCTATTATAGTACGGCACCTAATATTTAGGGTACCCAAAAAGGGGCCATAATCTTGACAACTACCCATGTGCAGAGTTCTTAGTTCTACGCTTTGAGAATTTCATGCAGCCCGAAGCTCTTCAAAACAGAGCCCCAAGGGTCCATGTGGGTGGTTGTCAAAATCATGGTCCCTTTTTGGGTACCCTAAATAATAGGTGCCGTATTACAATATGGACCCAAAAAGGGACCCTAATTGTGACAACCACCCATGTACCTAAATAGTATATACATTGGCCTTAAAGTACTCCCTATATGGGTACATTGTATACTATCTGGGTACATGGACCCTTAGGGGAGGTTGGGATTCCGTGAGTATAGCATAGAGCCCTAAAGTCGTAGGCTTTGGGATCGACAGGTTTGAGTTGCCTCGGCTCTTTTGGGTTTTCATAGATGAATCTCCTTTCCTAAGAGAGGGGCCTTAATTACCTAGACTATTTAGGGGGCTCCTTGTTATCACGTGTTACGGTGCGACCAGCATCGCACCCTTTCTACTGCGATTCAAGCCTGGTTTAGGAGGTGTTCAGGTAGATCAGTCCCAGTTGTGACCTTGACCCCTCCGACTCCAAAACACGGCAAGGTTTTGCAGGCTTTAGTGTTCAGGGGCTAGGGTCTCGAGGGCTTAAGAGATAGTCTATGGCTTGACGGTTTAGGCTTGTCAGGATTTGATATAGAAGCCTGCATAACTACCCCAGATCCGAAACAAAAACCCAGACCCTGCGACACGCCAGCGGCACTTCTCCCCTTAGGCCTCAGGGTCTTCCCAACGATCACGTACTCGGATTCGGGATGGTAGTCATGGAGCGTAATTAGAGTTTAGGAGAGCATACGGTGTGTAGGTACTCGCACCTTGACGGAGCCCCACACAAGAGTCTGAGCCTTTTGCAGAAAGGAGCAGGCGAGTCTGAGTGTTCATGATTTCTCGTTGCTTCTGCCGTGACTCTGCAGGTGGCTAACCTATCAGCCGCCTGTCTGCAGAAGCCATGGACGGTCGTGCATACATGGGTGTAATGCAGAGGTCTGAATCATTGCCAGCGCTTCTCAAAAAGGTTCCTCTTCTAACAGTAGTGAACATCAACCCAAACCTTTCTCTAGTTATTCAGCCCCTTTTATGATGGCTTACGAACTGTAGCTTCACTTCGACACCGGAACCCTAGGGAAGCTGGGCCACTGGGGGGGGCTTCAGGAGCTCATCTTTTCGGGCTAATTGTTTTGGGTCTCATTCATTCGTCTGGTTGATGATGCAATTTCCTGGTCAATGCTGATTAACCCTAAACCCTAAACCCATCAATCAATATCAATATGTGCACTGTCATGTTGTATACCGTTCCTGCCGCGTCGCGACCCTTCCAAGTGCATCCTTATCTGGCCATGGCTGACATGCTTTCGAGTCATGTGCATTGTCATCTTGATCCCTGAACCAGCTGGCGCCCTTTGATACCTTCATCATGAACATATTGGAGTGTCTGAAAGTACGGGAGCCACTACGACTATAGTGCAATCGATCTTATGACTGCCATTACTGCTTGATTTGCAACTATTGCTGTTGACGCCGAGACCCCTAAACTCTAAGCCCTAAACACCGAGCTCCAGGTTTACGCATGCATCCTTTACCCACATCCTTGGCAACTCCGTGATGTTGTTCATCGTCGCCATTCCGCTGGAGGCCACCCGCTGGCAGAGAGGCTCACTATAATGTAGGAACCTGATTAAGAAACCTTGGGCCTAATTAAGGTTCCTCATATGAATCCTACTGTTTTGGGGTTCTAGGCCCAGGGTTTCTTAATCAGGTTCCTACATTAAAGCGCCAGGTCTCCATGTCTCCAACATTCTAAGGTCCTATGATCCCAAAAATCCAGAGCCCGGTTCCTAAATCTTGAACGCTTGTTCTAAATCCTAAACCCCGGTTCCAGAGCCCGGAAGCCCGGAATCATAAACGTCTGGAGATGCTCAAGCGGGCAGGCTTGCTGGACTTACAAGGCTTTCTTGGGTTCCGGGTTTGGGCGTTTTTAGGGTTTAGGGTTGGGCTTTTGTTTTCGAGACTTAGGACGCATAGTGTGCAGGGTTGTAATGAACCCTAAACGGCCCGAAACCCTGAACCTAAGGTTTCGGACCTTGGTCCTTGAACCCAGGCCTCCCAGTGGGCCCTTTTTCCCTTTTTGCAGTCCTAGGTTCCTTATAAAGTTTTGCTATGTTACTGGGCCTCCTAGCCCTGTAGGCCATTTCAGACCAGGGGGTCGACCAGGTGCCGCAGGTTTGGGGTTTAGGCAACCAGAAGCCCGAGTTGTCCTTGCTTTTTTTGTCGGACCTGTCGTTGGTCACGCTTAAGCCCTGACCCCTGCAGGCCTAAACCCTACACCCTAAACCCGTACCCGAAGCTACAGCGATGCTCTAAGGCTTTAACAGACTAAAACCCCGGCATGGTCTGAGTGTGATTGTGACGATTCGTTTTTTTTCCGACATTGCTGCATCGGGAGCTGGGGTGTGGCTACCTTGCTTTTAACTGAAAGCATACAGTAGTAACTCTGTTTGTAGTGTCTTATTTTCAACCATAGTGTTGTACCGAGATCATGAATTATATCCCAATGGGTAGACCCCTGGTATTTCCTTCGCCACGGCCTGTTTCTGCATAACCTTCCATCCTAAACCGTCCGTACTTGGAGGATCATGGGACTTAGTAACTAGGGTTATAAATACGGCAACTATACTTGTAACTCCAATTACGGTACTTATAGCCTTACTTACTAAGCCTCATGATCCTCCAAGTAGACCCTAAACCCTAAACCCCCAATAGATTCCTTTATAGAACCCTTCAAGGACCCCCTTAAGGAACCCCAAAAGGAACCCGACTTACTAAGTCCCATGATCCTCCAAGTAGACCCTAAACCCTAAATCCCTACAGTCCCATATAGATCCCTTATAGGACCCTTTAACAGGAGCCCTTTACGGAACCCTTTGTCCAATGATCCTCCAAGTAGCTTCTTCGTGTCCTAAACCCTAAACCCTAAACCCAAAACCCTAAACCCAAAACCCTAAACCCTAAACCCTAAACCCTAAACCCAAAACCCCTAAACCCTAAACCCTAAACCCTAAACCCTAAGCCCTAAACCCTAAACCCTAAACCCTAAACCCTAAACCCAAAACCCTAAACCCTAAACCCAAAACCCTAAACCCAAAACCCTAAACCCTAAACCCCTAAACCCTAAACCCTAAACCCCTAAACCCTAAACCCTAAAACCGTCCGTAGCGTCTTCGTGCCAGGGCTTCCACGGTCATTTGCGCTTGGCCGTGCATCCTGGCTGCCTCGACAGAGCCCCAAACTACGGCGAATGGGGTTTAGGGTTTAGGGTTTAGGGTTTAGGGTTTAGGGTTTTGGTTGAAAACCCTGAAGTCCCTAAACGTACCTTGGGTTAGTAGGGAATAAGCATAACTATTATTATTTACTACCATTCGTTCATTCCTTGCTAACCAAAGGTAAGTAAAGCCAAAGCGCTAAGCCCTAAGTCCCAGTGTCTAAACCCCACAACTGGCCAATTCACAGCCTGATCTCGCACACACAGAACCCTTATGGAACGTTTATGCAACCCTTATGAAACTCTTATGGAGCCCTTATGGAACCCTTGCAGCCGCAACCCCAGAACAACCTTTCGAGGCCTAAGCCTTGTTGCCGCGATCCCAAAGCAGAAACCCCAAACCCCTAAACCCGTCCCTTTCCGGTCCGTCCTTGCTGTAGCGACTCCAATGGGCCAGTATGGCGGCATGTACAAACGGAATATAGCATGAGGAGATGTCCCACAAAAATGGCTGACACAGTATCTCCCTAAACCTTAAATCCCCAAACCCTAAACTCTACACGCCTAACCCCTAAACCGCGCACTTCAAAAAAACTAAACCTCCCAAGTCCCATTTTCCAGAGAATCTTGGCCGCCTAGTCTTCTGAACGTTGGTGTCGCGGTGGGTGCCGCTTTCGACTCATTCCTGCAGAACCTGGGCGTTCCTTAAACTATATTGTTCCTTTTTTACTTGAATTTACAGCCGATTTTTCAAACAATGACTATATACATGCTAGAACGGGCTTGAGTATAGGAACAGCTACCAGCTGGTTGGCATGTCTGCGGGCGTCTACGCACTGATGGGCATGCACTACGCTGATGCCGCCTGCCTCATGTTATCATGATCGCCTGAAGGTTTTGAGGAGGAGTCACCCCTTAAATCTGCAATCGCATGCGCTCCACAGACTTCAAGATGTGATTTTCAGATTCTCACTATCAACCAACTGGATTCATTGGGCTTCCCGTGCCTGAACAGCAACCTTCCTGTGAGGTATGATAGGTATGCATGTCGCCAGTCTCTGCCGCTGTGTAAGTGTATTGCTCCTCCTCAAGATAATTCTGGAGGATTCTAAAGCAGACCGGTTTTAGTGGGAAGGGCGGCTGCAATCCTGTGTTTGCGGTTGAGGAGTAAAGTGAAAGTTTTTCTTGAGCTTGTAAGCATGCCGCAGCCCATCCCGGAACCAAATAATCCGAAGCCCTGTGGCTACAGTGCCCAAGAAACTCACGCTAGAATCCCTCTCGACTCTGAATATAGGGTCGGAGTTATTTGTGAGAGCGTCCCCTTATTTCCCCTCTCATAATGGTGGTGTATACTGTACCTCAAGACCTGATCCTCATTTTCGAAGGCTTAGAGGTTCATGGGACTAAGCTACTGAGTCAACTACTAGGATTATAAACAAGTTAAGTATGCTTTTCATTACTTATGACCCCAGTTACGGTACTTGTAACTGCTCTTCGTAAGCCCCTTTAACCTCCCAGCACAGCCCACGATCCCGAGCCCAAGCTCGAAAGATGCCCCGAGCCAAAGGACCTATAGCCAAAAACTCCTAAGAAGTGGAAGCTTCGAACCCCTCATCATGAGTTGGTTGTTGTTTTGGGGTTTAAGGGTTCAGGGATGTGGGGCACCAAGGTGATCATGAACTGGGGCCAGATGGAGTACAGGTATGGCAAGTCCGCCTTGCCCTTCGCCTCTCAAAGCCCGGTAGCTACGTGTTGCCTTGATCATGAGAAGTGTACGATAGGGGGTTGGAATAGTGTGTAAAAGTATATCCTGATTACAGCAACCATGGAAGGAAACATCCTCCGCCCGCTTGAATCTTGCTACAGTCGTGGTTTGAGCAGGCCCGGTTTGCACATGTTGCTTTGCCGAAGCATTGGAAGATGACGTGCGCAACGATCAATACTCTTGTTTCATGTTGTTTAGTGTACAAAACTAGGTAGGCCTTTGGGGCATTTTATATTTTCCCTTAGTGGGCTTAATAGGACCCTGCCTGCGAATATTTTTCGGAGGCTTTAAAAGGCCAACCTAGAAAAATCAGCTGATATCGATGAACTGTGCAGGCTTCGGAACCTTTGCAGGGGCCCTTGATGCTAGGGTGTAGGGGTTTAGGGCCACTTCTCCCCAAGGGTCGGTACAACTGCGCAGCATATGCATCGACATTACCTAAAGGGGCTCCAATATTGGTACGTTAGCTGTGAAGTAGAAGTATCTGGTTACATGCACCCCTTGGGCTCCAGCAAAATCTTAGTGAAACCGTCTCAGCGGAACTGCAAGATTCTGCGAGGCTGCTCGTCCTCATCTTGATTGACTCCGTTGCAGCGATGGTCAGCGAGTTCTCAGGTGACGGTACGAACGTCAGCCATGCAGCCCATTTCGGACGCTTGCCGCTCTTCAGGCTTTCAGGTTTGGGACGTTGGTTGCTCAGAGCTTCATGTAGCATAACTTGAAACCCTTAGCCCTAGCAGCTTTTCGGGTGTGGCATTTCGTTGTGGCGGCCCTTGATGTAAGGAAGCATGAGAGCTTGGGGCTGCGGAGAGACATGCGATGGCGAGGTACCCCAAATCCTAGGTAGTATTAGCTGCAAACTCAAGCTGCTGCTAATTACACTCTTTACACCCCATACCCTAAATCCTAGTCCGAGGTGGCTGGCTGTCTGGAATGCTGATGGGCGTGCTCGTGGGGAGAAACTTAAAGGTTCTGCTATTTTTGGAAGGGGGAGGGGGTGGGGGGTGGGGAGCGCAGGACCGAGTGTTTTCAGTCCTAGTGTCTTCACTGCTAAGGGATTTCGGCCGAGGGATTAGGGTGTATATCCTATAGTCAAGGGATCATAGCCTAGTATTTGTTGTAGGATTTGGAGCTACCGGCATAGGGTTCCTATGTTTTTGAGGGCCAGGGTTTAGGATCCTGGCTACTACGATCTTCCCAGAGGGACTGCTGCTTTGCCCCTAGCTGGGCTTGTGCTCACCACAAGCTTGTCCTTGAAAAGCTTCAGGGTTTAGGGTTTAGGGCAAGAGCCTTGTAGTTTCTGCTGCCTCTTCCTAGCAAAGTCCCTTCTCATCCTTAAATCCCAGACCCTAAACTCCTAAACTGTGATGGAGGGTGGTGCTGCGGTTCGGAGATGCACTAAGCCGTGAGACCCGGGAGGCCAAAATAGTTTAAACTCCAAACTCCTAAGCCCTGAGCCTTAGGGTTTAGGGTTTAGGGTTTAGGGTTGAGGATTCAAAAACCTATTCAGAACCTACTCTGTTGTATGTTGTGCGGCTACAAGTCAACCCTTTCCCGTTCCCCGAGCCTCTGGGAGAAGAGATTTGGCCCGGCTCTTGTGAGAGATTTTTCGAAGCATCGTGCAAATTTTTCGGGGACATCATACGTCTCTTGGAGCGTGGTGATTGCCCTCGTTGTTGTTTCTGTGACAAATGGCCTAGTAGTCGAGTAGGTAACCTTAAACCTTTTTTGGGTAGTATAGCCCCTATATGGGCCCCTATATAACCAAAGAAGTTAACCTTTAGCTCCCCGTGCTACCCGACAAGTAGGATTGACTCTGCCATGATGGTGATGGTGTTGAGGAGGATGGTTAGGTCCGTTAGGAGCTTTAGTTGTTGAGGAGGACGGTTAGGTCCGTTAGGAGCTTTAGGTGCTGAGGAGGATGGTTAGGTCCGTTAGGAGCTTTGATTGTTTTTTGCAGTTCTTGTGCCCGTTACTTTGATCATTGCTGTTGTTGTTGTTGCTTGATCCAAGTTCGTGGCCAGATTGCATCCCGTAGTCACACCGACAAAAACCACGGCCTACCAGTTGTGACTTTTTGTTTTTCTTTCTGAGGTGTAGGATCAGGAGTAAGCCCCGAACCTGAAGCTGCTGATGCCGAAGGTCCACGACTTTGAACACTACTTCCAGGCGGTAGCCTTCGTGATTTTGTGCCTTGGCTCCGGAGCTCAGGTCATTGTCCGAACTTCTGCTGCGGTGTTCTCTTCTTTCCATTTTAGCCGATCGTGCGTAGTTTACTGATTGGGCAACGATGTTTCACGACGCAGCGCGTGTGTGTGTGTATATATATATATATATACAACATATACATGCGCACACGCATATGTTTATACATATATGTAAATACATATGTATTTATATACATATACAATCACAATGCACATGAATGTAGATATGTATTTGTGCATCAAATGATATACATCTTTATACATACACCTGGAAGCATGGTAACGGTGGCGGCACCAGTCACGAGTCACGGTTATGGTAACGATATGGCGGCAAATTTTGTCTCTAACAATCGTTCTATCTCTCTGAATCTATCTATCTATCTTTATTTGGGTACGTGTATGTGGGCGCACGTTTAGTTGTATCGTGTATATTCACGTGCACATGCGCAGACACGACATACATATATACATGCCTACGGCCATACATACACATACATGCGTGAAATCAATTGCATACGTAGCTGCACAGGGACACGTGCACCTCTCGTTGCAGTTGCCTCTGTCGCTGTCCTCGTCGTCATCATCGCCATCGTCATAGTCCTCGTCACAATCATAGCCGTTCTGAGTTCGTCATCTTCTTGCTCCTCTCTTTCTATATAACGTTGGCCTCCATATGGATGCTCGGGAGGGTTGGGTTTAAGGTTCATGGCCTCGGGTTCAGGGTTCAGGATTTATGGCAACTCCGGAGATTTTCTCTGGAAATGTGCATGGTTCGAGAGTGGATATTGACGACGGTTCATGCTGCAATGTCGTCTGGGGCCAGACTAGATGGTCAGTTACAGTTTTACATCAGGACTCCGAACTCTGCCGCCCCAGCTTTAACCTGAAATCCACGACCCCGAACGGCACAATGCAGGATTCCGGACCTTCCGCGCGTGTATGAATGTAGTGCCTCCCCCCCAAAAGAAACATCCGATGTCATCCGGATACCAACATCGGCAAGCATAATTTTCAACGCGCGCCGTCGCTGGGACCATCCTTCAGTGCGGGGCAGTCTGTCTGTCGGGGAAGCGGACTTACGTAGCTTTTGAACAAAATCTGTGTGCCTTGGTTTAAGGCTACTGTCTCGAGGTTTTGGCTTTAGGCGGAAACTGCTTAGTAGCCGAAGGTGTGTGATTCTAGGAGGCCGGCCGTGGCTTCTGCACAAGCCTCTTGAACCCTAATCTAGGGGCCTTAATAATTAGAATATGGTTGTGGGGTTCTTTCGTATGAATATAGTATAATTGGCCCCCTAAACCCTATTCTAATTATTATAAGGCCCCTACATTAAGCCTTGAACCCATAGCAGCATCCCCCGAGGCTAATCATCATCATCTTCTCTGCCGTCTGGCTGTCTGGCTGGCCTCCAAGAACGATCTTCCAGGCCAAATTTTAGGGTTTAGGTCTATGGTTTAAAGGAATCATTAAGTCCTCATGGCATAGAGAAAAGAGACACAACACGTATACATATAGCGATATAAATGTATGGGCTAGCAGGGAAATGGCGCATGCACGTAAGCATATAGCATGCAAACCTATGTGTGGACAGGCAAATCCGAACGTGCCCCCGTGTGTGTGTGTGTGTGTGTGTGTGTGTAAACACAAAGCTGTGCACACAAGTCAAGACATGCGCAGATACATGAACAGCAAGATGTACACACATGTAAATATGCGTGTGCAGTTATATACATGCATACATACATGTCCATATGCATATGTCTACGTAGACATATGTTTGAGTGTGTGTGTGTGTATATGCATGGGTATATGCACACGTACCTGCATACGTACATGCATGCATACATACCGATTCACACATACCTATGCATAAACCAGCTTCCAAGAGATATAAGGAGATAATCCACCGGCGAGCACCTCACCTAGACAGGTGAACAGCAATTATCTTGCAATGGATAAATGTGTTTCAGCAACATGTGCTTGCAGCTCTAATTGTCTTTGTACATGCATACATACGTAATCTACATATACATATATATATATATATAACATACATAAACGTACATACACGTAGACATAAATGTGTTTATCTATATGCACACATTTCTACACACTTACGCTAGGCAGCTATTTGTGTCTCCTTGCCACCAGCAAGTATACTTAGCAACGCTTGTACGGCTGGACAGCAAATTAAACTACCCCAGTGTCATCAATGCCAAGGATGTGTGGTTGCAGCCCAGCAAACCTAGCTTTCGAACCCGAAGCCTTAACCCCAAATGCAGAGCCCAAAGCCGATGAATAATGCGCTGATGTCCAACGTCGGAGGCAACCCTGAGCCACACATCCGGAACCTGCCGATTATCCTAGAGCCTTCAATGCCTTACCGCACAGCTACTCTAACCGCCGAGCCTTTAATGGTATGCCAAGCAACATTGTAAACCCTGAGTCTACGCACTCCTTTCAGTCGTTGTCGCTAGGCCTTTCCCTAAGAGTCCATGTGCCTAGACAGTATATACTTAGGCCCCGATATAGGTACCTGAAGGCCGAAGTGTCTCCTGCATGAGTACATGGACCCTGAGGGTTTGTCTTTGGGGTGTCCTAAACCCTAAAACCCTAAACCCCTAAACGTCCGAAGGCGGAACAGGATGCCTGGTGCTGGGTCCGGCAGGCCGCGGAGTGATCAGTCGCTGAACTACTACGGTTGATGAGATAAATCCTGCATGGCCCATAATAAGGAATCTACCATACTTCCCATAGTTTAGGGTCCTTCAGGTATCATCAACAGCAGGACCTAGAGTAGGCCCTTATTCCCTTTTTTTAGGTTTCAGGTTCCCTTCTCAGCCCCTTTAAGCCACAAAGGGCACTCATTTTATTCCTAGGTTACTCTTGGGCCTAGATTAGAATCACTAGCCCGTGTCGGGTTTAGGGTTGTGGGTTCAGGGGTTTACGGCTTCCCGCAACAGAAATAAACATTTTTCTCCGAGCGCCCCATGTTTTGTCGTTGAGGCCCCTTCGTGGTTGGTTGTGATCCTCAGAGTGCTAGTAGAGGCCTGAACTGAACCCTGTAGACTCTAGTTCCACATTCCCAACAAAATTGCTGAGACAGCCGGAATCTGCAAGAGGCCTGACGCCCTCGTCCCCGACGCTAACTGGGATGAGGGTTTAGGGTTTAGGGACGCTTAACCCTAAACAAGACCGGCAACTCGAACCTGGGAACAGCAAAATTTTCCTCCCCCAGCCTACTCAGGAAGACCCCCTGTCTCCCGAAACTCCAACACGATCCGCTTAGAAACGACTGCATCCTGGTACAGTCCCCACGTAGTCGCCTCTTAAGTAGCTGAGTCCAAGAAGGCAAGACTCTGAAGCCCCCTCAGCTTTGGTTCAAGAGTTCAGAGTGTGGGATTCAGGGTTTCGGTTTCACCCTAGTTACAAATTTACTTCTTAAGTCCTTTGATTAATCCTTCTAGCCAACTCTAAATGTTTAAAAGTCCTTGGATTAATCCTTCTAGTAAACTCTAGATGTTTAAACCTCTCACCTTGGGTTTGATTTAAATCCGACCTTGACCCCATGCAGCCTTAGACCGACAGGTTTTCCTAGTAGTAGAGTAGGTAACCTTCAACCTTTTTTCGGTAGGATAGTCCCTATATAATCCCTATATAACCAAAAAGGTTAACCTTTAGTTCCCCTTAATACCCTACTAGTAGGTTTTCTGGGGTCGAGGTAGTTTCGGCTGCTACTGGCACTCTCTCTGAAGGAAGGCAGCCTCGAAAAAGAACCATGAGCTCGAGGCCCCACTTGCCCTAAGGCTCTAAGGACTCATATCTTAAGGCTTTTGGGCCTAATGACCACATTATATCAGGCTTTTGGGCCATTTTGAGCCTTTGGGTTAGGATCCTTGTGATCAGAAGTAGTCCAGTGGGTTTTGTTTATAACGATAGTGTAGTATAGTTATCCTAGGGGCTGTAAAGCTTTACTATTCTGTGCTATACGGACCTGTGCAAACGGTAACTTATGAAGGGTGTGCCAAATTCGAGCGAGCATGCAGTGCCAAGATTGATTCAGTTACAGGCTATGGGGAGTTTTGTATTTTTCACGATGCCGAAGCCAGATCTATTATTATAGTATCGAACCCTATAACTAAACTTAGACCATCCCAGACCCTAAATCGCACCGCCAGGTCTACAATACCAGCCTCTTCCAGTCAAACAACTGGCAATGTGTATTTTGCAGCACCGACGCATGTACGAAGAGCTGGAACCCTGGCTGTTCAGAAGGAAATCCCACGTCTTTGAGGGTTTAGGTCTCAGGGTTTTGGGTTTAATAAGGATACCCAAACGGGGTCAGGATGGCTCTGCAAGGGCTCTATGAACATTCAGGCTTCGGGATATAGTCTTTTCATGCTTTCTGGGCTGAGTTTGACAAAGAGGATCCCGTCGTTGTGCTTATATACTGACAGAATATGGTATACCCGTGAACCTTGTGCCGATCATACAGTCCCCTCTATCAAACCCTGCTGCCGATCCGTATAGTAACCCTGAAAACGGAGCCCTCAAAGGAGCCTTAAGTTGATTACTCAGGCCGCTACATTGGGGTTGTTGAGGGTTTAACTGTTTTTGTTGAAGGGGGGGTGTTATTCTGTTTTATGGTTTTGCCCATAGGGTATTGTAGGGTTCAGGGTTGGAGGCTGTTTACGAAATCAAATCAAGCTTTAGGGTTCTCAGCCTATGCTTCGGCAAGAGCTGTTGAGCAGCTGTTGTATGCGGGAGTTTCCGAAAATTAGGGGCACCTTATGTTAGGGTCCTTATAGTAGGGATCCTACCATTTAGGGTACTATTCTATCAGGAGCCCCGATTTTCGGAAACTCCCATATATTGTCAGTGGGAGGGGGCACACTCATTTCCTGTTGCACAGAAATGCCCGCTATTGGTACGATTAGTGGTAGGACTCTTTACATTATCCTCCCAGGGTATATGGGGATCATGACATGTTTCAACACTCTATAGCTTTCTTGGTCCAGCCCAGGGCGACGCAAAGGTACATTGAGCTGGTTTCGGTTGACGCGTGCTTCGCAAACCAGCACCTTGGAGTCGCAAGAAGAAAGTTGCGGGAGGTTCAATATAGGGGCGTAAAGCGTATTTTTTTTTGGGGGGGGGTCCTTATTATAATTATAGTATAATGGGCCCCAAAACCCTATTGTAATCATTAAGGCCCCCTATAGAAAGCTTTCGGGCTTTAGATTCAGAGTGGGTTGTTTCGGGTACAGGAAGTCTAGGGTATATAGCTCTGGCAGCACCAGCACGTGTCGCTGTCATCCCTTCCGATATAGCCAAGGTAGCAGTGTTCCTTGTGGCAGAATTGCAAGTGCAGGGCGTGCTCCTAGCACCACCAGCGTGCATGGGCTGTTAGCAGAGTATCTGGGGGCGTGTTATTCAAAACTGCCCGAAGCCATACACCCAATGAGCCCGGTAATGAGCCCTGGTTTGGAACACACACCCAGGACAAGTTTAGTTTTAAATGTAGGATGTGTGATCTGCCTGCCAGAGGCAGTTTTCAGATCACCGAGCCTGGGACAGCAGCAAACTTGACAGCTGCGACATCCTTTAGGAGTCCAGGTGCCTGTAAGTGTTCCTTGTTAAGGTGCCAAGTATAGGGTTGTTGTAGTATGTACTTTGGTTCTACAGAACAAAACGAAGATCTGAACAGTACATTAAAAAATTTCAAAGAACTAACACCAAAGAAGGCCAACGTGCACCGTACAGTATATGCATATACGAACACTGTAGGTACCTTAGATGTTTAGACCCCTTAACTTGAAAGACTCCGATCCTGATGATCTGCACTTTGCTGCTCCTTGGCTTGCCTACAATCTCCATGAGCCTCCGCGTGAAGGTTTTGTTCTGTTGTTGTCATCTTAAGGGATTTGCGCCCTTTCGGTTCAGGTTTCTCTTATGACCCCCGTACAGATTTAGTGTGACGCTGTGTCATGCCGTTGTTTGTGCTGGCAAAGGTTGCTCAGAAATCACATTCTGCAGGGGGATAGTGCGGTTTTATCCTAAATTCGGCTGCGGCTGAGAGCAGTCAGGAGCTGAAGCTCATCGTGCTTGAGGGGAGCCAGCTCATGATCAAACCGTGAATATACATGTATATATATATATATATATATACGCCCCCACATGATCTACCTCCGCCATTTTTCGGTATGTATCATATATATTTATATGGATATACAGGTATAAACACATAATACGCATGTAACTCCACATCATATGTGCAAATATTTGTATGTATATATGTATCCTGATTTAAGTATTTGTGTGGACACTGTGTTGTATGTCTGCCTGCCTGCTTGCCTGTCCGTCCGCCTGCATGGATGTATGTACGTGTGTATATATGTTGTCTTTGTATCTATGTATGTACGTATGTATGTACAAATGTTTGTATGCATATGACTATATGTGTGTGTGTGTGTGTGTGTGTCTGTCTGTGTGTCTGTCTGTGTGTCTGTCTGTCTGTCTGTCTGTCTGTGTCTGTCTGTCTGTCTGTCTGTATATATACATATATATATATATATATATGTATGTATGTACATATATATATATATATATATATGTGTGTGTGTATGCGTGTGTAACTTTCTAAGTGTGTATATGTTCATGTTTGTGTGGATATATCTATGTATGTGTATGATGTGTATGTGTGTATATATATATATATACACAGATTATTTACTGATGGAATTGTGTGGTTTCCTTTGCTGGTTCGTTTGTGTTTGTATATACACATATCTGTACACATGCACTTACATGTTGTCATTCATCCACTTATTCGGTTACCTGTTCAGTTCATGTATTTAGTTTGCTTATTACATGTGGCCTCTCGTGGTTTCGAGTCTGGGCTCGAGGCACGGCACACGTCGTTCCTCAAAGCATCCCTGCTTCAAGCTTACGACGACTTGCATGTATTATACTTGTGGGATTTAGGGTTAGTGAGTTTGTTTCGGGTGGAGAGGGGGCTGTGTGATGAAAGGCATCGGAATTCATCCTTTCCTGAAGCCCCTAAGCCCTGACCTGAACGTCATATTTACACATAGAAGCCGCTCAGCTTGGCAGACTCCCACACCTGACTGCTCTCTGCATTTTGGTTCCGGTTGTGCAGAACTTGGCCAACGAAGCTGGCAGTGATGCACTACTGTACCTGCGGCTGAGCTTCGGGCAACAAATGCGGCGAATCACGTTTAGGGTTTCAGGGAGTGCGGGGGTTTTGGGTCTGTGCTCCTCCTGTTGGCTTTTCTTGTTGCTTCTGACCCCGTTCCACTTCGCAAAGTTACGGTTGCTGCAGCTGCATGTATTATGTTAATTACCTGTACTATCATGCGGGTTTCTTATTAGAAGCATAGAATATTGGGCCCCCACACCCTATTCTAATTATTAAGGGCCCTATGTTAGGTGTTTGTCTGCACATCTTCGCGACTCAACAGCATTTCCATACCAAGCTCCGCATGCTGCGGCTGTCCAGGGTGCGGCCCATTTCCAAAGTCCTTCAGGTTGATCTGCGTGGAAGGTGCAAGTATTTAGGTTTAGGGTGTAGGGTCAGGGTCTATATTGAGTTGAAGGTGGAAGTATTTAGGGTGTAGGGTTCAGGGTTTAGGATTTATAAAGAAGCCAATCTTTTTCGTGCTATGGTTCGCTGGTTGCTCCTCTTCGTCGCCTGGCCCGCCGAAGGACTGCTCCGACAGACACCTCTTCAGTTTCGCTTGCCTGGTCTCAGCCCACCTGGGAGTTTCCGAAATTAGGGGTACCTTTTTCGGGAGTCTTTATAAGAAGGATCCTACTATAAAGGGTACTACATTAGGGTCCCCTAGTTTCGGAAACTCTCACCTCCACAACTTTAATCCGGAGAGTTGGGTATCAGTGCTCGTAGCAGGAGGTGCCAGGGCCAAAGCCATGCTATCTTTCGAACGAAGACAATAGGTCGAGGGCTTTAGGACAGGAAGAGAATCGCATGATTCTATACGTGTCAGGGTTTAGGGTTGGGGGTTAGTATCTTTTACAGCTTAAACCGAGGATTTCGAGAACGCAAAACCCCCTGACCCGAAGCCTTGAATCCATGACCTATGTGGCAGGAGGATCTTACAACGACTACATCGACAGGATCGAAAAACGTGGCTCGCCCGCAGTCTGTAGTATTAGATCATGCTAGACTATGTTATGTCACTTCTTGTTTTGCCGTTTTATACTGTTTCTACTATGTTGTACAGTATTACAGCATGTTGTACTTCATTCTTCAATGTTATTGGTAAGTTGTACGATCCTATGGTACATGTCTACTTGAAGGCTCATGGGACTTAGTAAGTAAGGTTATAAGTAGGTTATAATTAGGATAACCCCACTTAGGGAACTCAATTGGGTTCTCTTTTTGATGCTCGCAACGGCTCTTTCCCAAGGCTAGGGGACTTATAAACCCCAATTAGAACCTACTTACTAAGTCCCATGAGCCTTCAAGTAGGATTTAGGGCTTGGAGTGCCTCGATAGACGCTTGATTGCGACCTGGGGCTTTATGTTATCAGGTGCGGCTCCTCGGCTGACTGGGCATGTACTTGGAGGATCATGGGACTTAGTAACTACGGTTATAAATAAGGTAACCATACTTATAACTCCAATTAGGGTACTTGTAACCTTACTTACTAAGTCCCATGGTCCTCCAAGTAGGCTTCAATGCACAGGCTACAAGAGCGAAGCGCGGGAAGCTAAGACTTAATTTTTGCAACAGCTGAACAGCAAACGAATAATGTCGGGGCCAGTATATTGACCCCCCCAAACCCTATTCTAATAATTGCGGCCCCTATAATCAAAGCCTAGCCCAGCCTGGCAGTTCATCCCAAGCATTCTTCCAGGGTCTGTTACATGGAGTCGTGTTTTCCCGATGTCGCGCCGACTTGTTCAACCGCAGTATGCCGGAATTCGAGCATAGTGCCCTGCAGCATCCTGTCTATTCTTGTTCATGACGCACCAGTGTGCCGGCAAGTGCCAGGGTTCTCTAAGGTTGTCACTTTATTAAGTGACAACCTGAAGCCTAAGTGCCCAAGTGGACTATCACAAACCTTACAATGCTCTTGTTAAGCAATGTACAATACACCTGAATTTATAGAGGGATCCTTAAGGTGATTTTCTGAATAGCCCTTGACTTACGGGACTTTGGTGGACATGATCCCCAAAGCTCTATATAAACTAACCCATTGTGCTTGGGTTTCTGGCATGCCTTACTCCCTTGTGAGCTTTGGGTTCTGCAGTTCAGTGTTTCAGTTTCTGGATTTGCTTAAACTTGCAACCGAAGAGCTTTACCTTCAACTCAGCTTGAGATCCCCACTGAGTTTCAACAAGGACTGGGGGCCCCGGAGTTAGGAAAGCAAAGCCTTGTAAACACTAACACGTAATGCCCTAACCTGTTACAAGCCTTAAACCCTGGCCCCAAGCCCTAAGCCGCAAGCGGTGTAGGGTTTGCGATTCAGCCTCGGTCTCCGTTCTCCAATCCGAGGAACTTCCGATGCCATTGCCTTACACCGCTCTGGAGAGACGGCAAAGGCGTGAGGGCAGCATCTTAGCGGTGTCTGGGGATTTGGGGTTTAGGATTTGTTTGGTTCAGGACTTTTGGGGTTGGTCCCGGCAGAAAATAGAAACGCGAAAAGAAAGCGGGACTAGGTCCGACTCTTCAAGCTGGCTGCGAAACTGCAAACTTTAAGCCCTAGACCACCCCCCCCCCCGAAGCTCAAGCCCTAAACCCAAAAATCCTGAATCTAAACCCCCAAATGCTAAATCCCCAGAATTTCTAAATCCCAAGAGTTCCCTACGCTTGCATCCTAAAACTCCAAGCCGTCAAAGCTCCTGCTACTGCTGAAACACCGGTCAGACAAATTGTTGCCTCAGGCTTGAGGGTTTCGATGTTGGTCACTACTATGGGTTGGGAGTTTTGAAATCTGTGTTTAGACTTTTACCATGGTTTTAGGAGGCTTGAGGGTTCTTTGGCTTCAGGGATTTCGGGGTTTATGGCGTACGGCTTAGGGTTTACAGGGTGTATGTGTTGATGATTAAGGGGTTGGGGCACAGGGCTTATAGGGAGATTAAGGGTAACTCTTTGAGCTTGTTCGTAGCCTAGGTACTGCTTCATGCGCTCAGGTTTCCGGAAATCTTTGAGGTCTTTGGGATTCGGTGACTCACTACACCCCAAATCTCTAAACCTAAAACCCTAACCCCCCCAAACCAGAAACCTTTCGCCCGCAGCCCCCTGACTTCAAAAGTCTAGCCCTTAAACCCTGGAGTGCATAGCTCGCTGTCCGCTTCATGCCGAACATAAACCCGAATCCTAAGGCTCTAACGACTCATATTTTAAGGCTTTTCGGCCTAGTTGAGCCAAGCTCTTGTCACATTGCTTTCCGTGACTGTCAGACTTTCTTAGTATCAGAGCCGGCTATTCTTTCTTCGGGCGCCAGAACCCTTATAAAACGCCAAAGGTTAGCTTTTAGAGCGCCTAGGATACTGGACAAGTCAGGCTTCAGTGCAGGATAAAGTACCGAAGCCTCCCAACCTTGAACATTCAAACCCGAACACACCTAATCCCCAAAACTGGACACACTACGACCCTTCGAAACTGCCGACAAACTCTAGGCTTTGCATGGATCTATATTCCTGGGATTTAGGGTTTCTTAACTCCACACCCAAAACCCGTAAAGCAAGGAACCCTGGACCCTACACCATGAAGCCCTGAGTTCCACCGGTCGGGAGCCTAGGCCAACCCTGAAACCCCTACAGCTAGAATCAGAATCATGATGTTGATAGTGCCGCTGATACCAATAAGAGTCATACTAAGCATCGCAAGAACAATAATAAGAATGACAATGAGTGACCGTGATATCAGGTATAATCAACAATACTAGCACTCAGTGTTCCACAGGCTCTTCGGACGTTGAACGAGGCGGGATCGTTTCGGGCCCCGAACCTTTCTGTCCATCGTAGTTCGGTTTTCGGGTTAACCACTTCTTGGTAGGATCCTATATGAAAGCCAAGGCGATCCCAAAAGGAGCGTTAATGGATATTATAGGCTTGGTAAGGTTTAGGGTTTATTCGGATCGGATTCCTGGTATTTAGATCTCCAACAGAGTAGTAAAACTGTATAGCGACGACCCCAAAAGGGAACCGCTCTTAGATCCAAGCTCAGTTTCTATTTAGTTCGATAGGTAAGGTCCCTGAAAAGCCTCTGGCCGCTTAATTTTGGCCTCTGAAAAGGGCTGCCCGCAGGGTGCAGGGGTTCATGCATAAGTGTAAGGCTTCTAAGGCAGTTCAGGTTACCCTCCGGCTAGATGCTAGATGTGTTTGCCAGTTCTCAAGAGGTCACCTGTGTGAAGTTGAGAAAGTTCCCAGTGCGAGCTGCACGGCTGAAGGCAGAGAAGGGAGTGGGCAAAAACAGCAACAACAACAACAACAACAACGGCAACGCAATAAGAACCCTTTGTGGGCATAGGATGGGCGGAGGGTCGAAGCGCTTGGCCTAAACCAGAAACAACTGAGCTTGCAACTTTAGAGAATCATCCCTGAGCCCCTAAGCCAAACCTTACTCCCTTTGCCACAAACCAATTTCAACAGCCCTGAACCCCTAAATCCTGAAACACTACCTCCTTCGACTTTGCCACAGGTCCGGGACAGTTTCCATTCGGCGGTGAAGCTGGACTCGAAGAAGCCAGATGCGTACGTCACCTTCGCGCAGTAACTCTGCCATTTTCAGCATGGGTCCCTGCACCTGCCACAAAATGCTTAGGCTTTAAGGGAGTTCCTTATGGCTAGTTTTGAACCCCAGTGTAGACTACATGACCTTCGGGGATATTCAGCAAGTCTTGTTTATGAGTTTAGGGATGCTGTGTCGAGCACATTTGTCTGGTCTACCTCCGACATTGAAGATTCCGTAAGTTCCCTCAAACTACTAGAACCTAGTTGCATGTAGGTTCTTACTATAAACCCTAATTACTGTAGATTTTACAGGACCCTAACAAACATAGTTTTTGGGTAGTTCAAGCTAAACCATTATTGGAGATTGCTGTCGCAAGCAGCTCAGGTCAATGCTAAGCTGCAATCAGCTGGAGGCCAGGTGTGCATGCAGCGCAGAGAGACTGGCCCTGAGCAATGGCAATAATTATAAGAATGACAATCGCCAGCATCGCTTGAATCATAAACATGGTCATCTGCATCAAGGCGAATCAATTACAAGGCTCTTGGGGATGTGTTGGGTGTATTGTGTATCGGGCAATACTCCTAAACACCAAACCCAAAGCGATACGCCGTGTGCTTACCTCCTGCGGGGAGGAATTTCCTTGATGAGCTCTTTGCGCAAAGCCAAACCCTGCAACCTCCGGAGTCTGGGGTGGAGGTTTGGAAATTGGGGTTTAGGCTCACACAAAAAACATAAAACCACCAAAAAACACTTAAACCCAAAGAAGCAAACACGGATAACAAACCACCGAACTCCGGAAGCTCTCGTTCCGAAGTCGAAGACCTTAATTAGTGAAACAAATGCCAATGTTTACGGTTTGGTCTGAGGGTCTAGGGTTTAGGGTTTAGGTCTTAGGATCTTAGGGTTTAGGGTTTTTATCGCGAATAGCCATAAACTCCCAGCCGTGAACTCTAAATCCTAGTCCAAAGCCTTACGCGTCACGCCGGCCCCAAACAGGATGCCGTCCATGCTTGGGAAGGAGCCGTACAAAGAATTGACAGGAAGATGCACGGCAGTGCGACATATGTTCAGGGTTGGGGTTCGTGGCGTTAGGGTTTAGGGGTCAGGGCGTTCGGTGATGTTGAGGCATAAATTTCGTGTGTGGGACAACGTTGTCGAGAACTGGTGCTGGGTAGAACCTCGAGGGGTGAAGTCGAGGTTCAGGGTTGGCGGGCCTGCAGGTGTAGTTTGGGTACTGCCCCCACTCAGTAACAGTTAATAACAGTTAGATAATATTGCCCTTCATAGTAGCCCTGTTGTAGACTGTTACTGTATGGGGGGCAGTACCCAAGGTATAGTTCTAAGCCTGAAAGACCCTAGTTGCTAAAGGCAGCAATGGTGGTGTTCCGCAGTCAGGACGTGTACATGTGGACGGACGCACTCAAACCCTACTTTGATGGTCAGGTCGTAAGAGCCTCTTTCAGGCCAGTTGCATATAGAACTTCCTCAGATGGACTTGGTTAGATCACGGGAATCCCCAATAATCAACCAGACGACCAGCATCCCTAAGCCCTCCAACATCTCCTCACAACCTGACCACCTGAGCAGGCCCCAGTCAGCAACAGCGTGTAAGAACCATGCGCCCATCGAAAGCAAAACTCTGAAAAGCCCTCAGCCCTAAGCCCCAACCCTACATACGACTTCCTAATATAGTCCTTACACCCGGCAAAGCTCTGTTACGCCCATAGGCCCTCTAAACCCCTAAACCCCACGCCCTAAACTCCCTGCTCAAGCTGTTGGCCCGAATCCTTGTTGAGTGCCCTTCTCGGAGTCCCTTGCCCCATCGCATCATTGTCTGTGCTCCGCGGGGCTCTCTCCTCGAGCTGACCTTGAGGGTGAGATCTGCCGGCCAGTCCCTCCTTCTCTTCTACAAGAACATTTGTCATCCTCGGGGGCGACGTCGAGAACTGGCGGCCAGAACCTCATTGTCTCTTACAGGTTCGTTGTTGGACGTTGGACGCCTTGAGTGGGACGTGAGGGTTGCACTGTCGTAGACCTCTTTGGGCTGATCTTCCTTCCCGGGCGAGTTGGTCCTGTTGCTGCACTATTTGGGCGAGTTTGGTTGGATTCGTCTCTGCTGCACTATCTGGACGAGTTTGGTTGGAATCGTCTCTTCACTCTGTCAGGGTGTACTTCTCTACCGAGCTCGCTTTTCGTGACGCTGCTCTTCTACGATGGAGGGCCCCATGGTGGTTGATGAGAACATGCCCGCCCCCGAGAAGGGGTCCCCCACCGAGATTGCTGAGTCCGAACCGGAAGACAAGGTCCCCATGGCAATGCAACTTGAAGTCAAGCAGGAGAAGCGCAAGCGTGAACGGAAGGGGCGCAGACGGGAGGCTGCAGTTGATGGAAGTGTTGTACCGGTGGTTGACGATGAAGACGATGACTCTGATCTTGATAGCCCCTCTAAACGTCCTCTTCATGGAGACGCACCGCTCAGCGCCCACGAGATACGAGAACTATTGTTTGGCCATGTCAACGAGATGAAGGATGCTTGGCGTTCATTCCAAGGACGACTTGATCGTGTCGAGGCAGAACAACTCCAACACGGCCATGAAATGATCAACCTTCGGACCAGGACCCACGCGCTTGAAAGGAGTTCGTCGAGCATGGGTCGTCAGCAGGAGAAGACCACCAAGTGCCTCGAGGACCTCACCGAAGACGTCAAGAAGATGAAAGTTCAGATTGACGACCTTCAGAAGAAACCTCCGCCACTGATCCCCGTAAGCGATGGGCTACCACAACATGGAGCTTCACGTCCCGCTGTTGTTCCAGGACATGCTGACCCTTGGGCTGAGTACCTTCGACACAAAGGAGGTAAGGATGCGGATGCAGGTGGGGCCATTCCTCGGGGTGACCTTCAAGGTGATCGTGCCGGCGATTCTCTCTCGGAAGACGAAAAAAGGACACTCGTGGTTGGTGGCTGGGCACGCGACACAAAAAGGGCGATCATTGAAGCAGAAAGTGGGGTGTTGTTCAACTTGGAGGGCATCAAGGAGCTGATCGATGTGGAGAAGCTTGCAATCTATGGTCCCCGCAGATCCGTTGGCATGCTCAAGTTCCAGCAGCGAGAGGGTGAATCCTTTACGGAAGTCAAGAATCGAATGTGGGGTGTCATTAAACTTGTTGCGAACAGTAAATTTGAGCTGGCCAGTACAAAGGAAATGGGCGAGCCGAAGAACATGTGGGCGAGCTTTGTGAAAACCAAAGCGGCACGGGCGAAAAGCTCTTTAGTTTCCTTGACGCGAAGAGTGTGCTCACGCCCAAGAGTCAACTTTTCAGTTGGCACGGTCTCTAGTTCAGTGCTGTGAGCTTGCCATGTCAGCCAAGAATACCGAGGGAGGAATTAAAAACATCACCAGCACCCAGCACACGGCGCATGACTGCGACTGGAACATGGGTACTATATGGAGTGGCAACCATAAATTGGCGAGCGCCACCCACAAGGCACCCAAGGACGGTGAGTTCGTGCTCCTCTCCTCAGGCTGGGTCGCCCTTGAAGCCGTTGCGGAAATCACAGGCTGTACTGTTGATGAAGCAAAGTCTGCTTTTGAGAAGGAGCTGTGACAGGAGGGCGAAGGTTTCACCCAAGATGAACCGCCATTGGGAAGAATTTCTTCTGCTTCCAGGGATGTTTTCTCTAAGAGATGCACCGGCATGGACGGAAAGGACTCATCGTGTGCAATACATCGTTGGGGACGTGTCTGTTGCTGGAACCTTGGTGGCCAGTCCTTAAAGATGCTGGATGTTGCGGTGGCGGATGCTGATGTTCTACTTGTACAGGAAGTTTCTCGAGGCAAAGAAGGCTGGGATGGCATGGAAACTGATGAATATCATTGGATAGTCCATCGCCATCGAGACCAGTGGAGAGGTACCGCGGTTGGAATCGCCAAAGATCGGTTCGACTGTGTCATTCGGAAAGTCGCTTCTTCTCGAGGAGTGTGGATTCTCGCCAGAGTACATGGACTTGGAAGAATCGTCTGCGGGTCTATCCATTGCTTCACGGGGGTCACCAACTCCCGCTACCAGTCTGCTGTGGGGGAATTCTTTGCACTTCTTCCTGCTGAGTGGCGGAAATACCCGCTGGTCTGTGGTGTTGATGCCAATGAAGAGTTGTGCTGGGCTGAACATGAAAGGTCTGAAGAGCTTGAGATTGGGCATTGTTCGGAGAACTTAAACGTACTCCTTGATGAGGCTGGCAAACGAGGTTGTTTCGCTATTGCTCCTGTCAAGTCCCAGAAGAATACTCCCACTCACTACCCTCGGGATGAAACTCGTGAAGGTCGCCAGATTGATCTCTTCCTGGGCAAAGACCTTAGACTTGGCACAGTGCACATTGACCCTGAGCGGAGATACACGATCAACTCCGATCATGCTCTCCTCCATACTGAAATTACCGTGTGTGCAGCAACTCCCGATAAACAATGGGGAAATGATTCCAGAGCACGTTGGGTCCACCATGAACTTCCGGATGTCACGATTGTTGATGATGCTGATGTTGCTGAACTTGCCAGAAAGTACACCAAACCGAGGGCCTCGCAACGTTATCGTGACAGTGATGAGACGAAGCGTGCAATCAAGGATGCCAGAGTCTCCAACTCGAAGGCATGCTGGAAGCAAGTTCATCGTCTTCGTCGTCGAGATCGCCATGCTTGGGAGGAACGAAGATTGTCGCGCATCTTGTTAGGCGGGTGGGATGAATTTCGAGTCCTACAAAATGAGAAGAAGAAGCGCCGTGGATGGTGGGGTGGCATGCTCGATGGGAAATCTTCTGCCGCTGTCACGGAGGAAGTCCAGGCGCATCTCTCTGAAAAGATGGTCTGTCCGGAGTTGGAGGATTGGGATGTAGACTTGGATCATCTCATCTGTGATCTGCCGTCTAGGGACGACTTTGTCGGGTTTACTCTTCAGGATGTCCGCACTGAACTTCAGCAAATGAAGTGTCGAAGTGCTGTTGGGCCAGATGGCATCAGTGTACACCTGCTGAGGGAGATGTCTACCCACGAGACCCTGGGTGAGCAACTGCTGCATCTCATCAACCACATTGTGGAGACTCAGGAAACGCCTGAAATCTGGAATGTCAGTTTCCTCGCTTTATTGGCCAAGTGTGCACATCCATTGAAACCAAATGATCTGAGGCCGATCTGCGTCAGCTCAGCCTTCAACAAACTGGTCAACCGCCTGGTTTGTGCTCGCACTCTTCCTTTGCTTAGACGTGGGTCCAAGATTTCTGCGTGCGGGAGAGGTCGCCAAGCAGCCGATCTCATAGGTGGCATGTCTCGCATCCGGGATGTTATCCATGAATGGCGAATGCCCGCATTGGTCTGCAAATTGGACGTCGCAGGCGCCTTTGATAGAGTTGATCGACGCAAGATGGCCAGTCTCTTGATAGATCGCCTCCGGAACAAGGGGAGAAGTTCTGAACTACGCTATCTCCTTGGTCAGCTTCATTCTCATTGTCTTGAAGGACGTGTCCCTGGAGGTGGCCGTGTACGTCTTCATCCCAATACCGGCATTAAACAGGGTGCTCCGGAGAGCGCCGAATTGTTTGGCATCCTGATTGACTCCATGCTCTCCGACTTGGTGGAATGCGCGTCTTGGAAGAAATTGGGTGGACTGGCTGAAGACTTTGATGTGGACTTGCTCTTCTACCAGGATGACATCTTCTTGGTTGACTGTCAGCTTGGCAGACTCGTACGACGCATCCGAGTTGTGGATCGCTGTCTCGCTCAGGCGGGTCTCAAACTTGCCACCAGCAAAACCAAGATCATTGCCAGTCGCAACTATGTTGGACCCCGACGGGCCGAAGTTGGTGGTGAATCCTTTTCTGTCTCTGGCCGCCTTGAATCAATCAAGGTATTAGGGGTGAGCTTCAATTTCTTTGAGAGCCCCTCGCAGCAGGCACAAGAAATGTTAGGGCGAGCACGTGCAGCTGTTGCCTCCCATGCTGACATTCTTTGCGCTTCTGGACCCTGGATGAAAAAGGTTGATCTCCTTCGCAGTCTCGTTGAGGGAACCTGGAGCTGGACGGCAGGGGCGCTTCACTGGAGTGCACAAGACTTGATGGCTGCCAACACTCTTCAACTTCACACTCTCAGAAGAATGTTTGCATTGAAACGCCTACGACACGAAGACTGGGTGAGCTGGAACCAGAGGACGTTGAGATTTTGCAGGGTGTGGCTCCACAACAATCAAGTCCCAAGATGGAGCACGAAGATCCTTGGCCTGCAGCATAACCTCCATGGCCATTGGGCCAGGCGAATTGAAAACAATCGACGAGGACAAGATTGTTGTCCTGGTCTCACAATGCGAGCATTACTCTGGCGAAATACGCACTGGTGGCGAGAAGAGCAGGCAAAGAGTCTAAAGTGTGGTATGCGACATCCTTGCAGGTTTTATGCGTCCAATCCCGAACGCCAAATTTCTGAAACACAGGGAAGTCTTTGGTATGTGGGAGCTCAAGATAGAATCGCTTGGTGTGCGGCCAGAAGTAGATACGTTGATATGTGGGACGTGAAGTGGAGCAGCGGCCGACAATTGGCCTTACGATTCTAGATCGGTGCATGTCCACCTTGTGAAGTTCGATCTGAGAGTGTGGACTTACGTCGCTCTTGAAGCTGTGAAGTCTATGTTCGACTGACATGTTCTTTTACGATGCCCTTGCTTTTACTCTGACAATAGCTGTCCTACCACTTGGGAGTTTTACATCGAGATTGTCAAGATGGGATGCTCTTTGTCGTTAGTCTTTGAGATTTTGTGCAAGGTCATATCCGACTGTGCTTTGCGCGGCATGTTCGCTTACACAGCCCTTGCGATCGTGTCAGAAGCACCTTTTCCAGGATTGAGAAGTGTTACATCAAGGCTGTCATTCTTCGGCTCCTCTCTGTCGCTGAGTGACGTTGCGCGTGATCATGTCTGACAGTGCTCTGCGAATGTGAGGATTGCAAGCACTCCGCTGGTGTTTCTTGGCTCCAGGTGACACGCTGTCGCAACCCTCGGCATTGTCGCTCTCCTCGCCTACCTCGCCGTGTGATGGCTCCTTGCTTGCTGTGGCGAGCGCTCCCTTGCTTTCTCCTCTTCTGGGACGGCAATGCTTGGGATGAGGAAAATGAGACTTGTGGAGCCCACCCCGAAACCGGTGCAGCCAGCTCTTCGTCCTTGACTCCTTCGCAGGTGACATCGACACCCTTTTGCTCGCAGCCCTGGACTTACAACCAATACGTGCAATTCATGGCAGCAGCCTGGGATGAGGAGATCTCCGTGGCCGTCCAAATGGAAGACTTTGACAATCTGGGACATGGAGATGCACAACCACAAATGGTGTTACTTGAGTCGCCACTGCCAGAGTCTGTGCCCACGCCCTTTCTGCCTGGCAATGGGGTGAGCACACAATCAAATGACGAGGGTGCTCTGCTACGTCTCTTACATGATGGCAGAAAACTTCGTGGTGATCGTTCCTCCTCAGGAAGAACTTTGGGTAGGGACCCTGGTACATGGCTTGTCTCCAACAAACCCATGGAAGATGACTCTGTCTCGGCAAGTGCACCCCTTCCATGTCTACCTGCTGGCCATGGCGATGGTGACGACGGGGACACACAGGAACATGGCACTACTTTGTCCTCTCCGTCTTCTTCCTCGGCACCATGGACGAGTTGGACGAGTTCGAGCCCCACAGCCTGGGGCGACCCTTCTTCGTGTGCTTCGTCTTCTTCCTCGACGCCTTGGATGAGCCGGATCCGTCCATGCTCTACTACCTGGGGCGACACTTCTTCGCGTGCGAACATGACCTCCGGGACACCCTGTTCGAATCGTATCAGCACGACCCCTTCGGCAAGTTTGCCTAGTGGAACGCAGGACTCTGCATCAAGCGGGACTTTGGAAGTGGACTGGTCTCTTGGTACTACCTTGCCTGTTGATACGGCTACCCCGGCTACGACAACTGGTGTTACCCAAAGATTTCATCAAACACGCCCTGGCAGAGACCGCTGGCATCTCGCGAATGGGAGCGTTCGTTCTCGTCTTCGCGAACGTCGGGCTCTTGAACAAGGCTTGGGTCCCATTCAAGAAGATGAGCCACCGTTCGAAGTGGAGGATGTTGTTCAGTCAGTGGATGGCCCTGTTGTCAGAGCGCGGACGTTCTATGGCGAGGCCTTTGAAGTCTGGGCCAGTGGTTTGGGTGAACTGGCAGAGAAGTCTACTACGGCGGGAGATGACGGAAGCACCGCATCTTCATGGAGTGGCGATGTACCCACGGCTGTTCCTCTAAATGAGGTGGACTACCCGGATCCTGATGCGGCGTCTTCCTCAGACAACGCCCAACCCAATGAAGTAGGGTTTTGGCATCATGGTGAATGGGTGCCCAGACCACGAACCTCAGCCGAACTCCGAAGTCATCAAGGTGGCACCGGCATGCAAAGGTGGCTGAAGAAACAACGACGCCTTAAAGCCTATTTTGATGGCAACTGGCGACCAGCTTGGTTGGAGCAATACAAGCTTGCTAAACAAGCTCGTGACCAACAAAGAGCCAATCAGGAGTCCATGGAGACTCAACAACAGGCAACTCCTTCGTCACTGGACCCTCCCGACAACTCCAGTTTTGTTCCTTCTCCTGCCGTTGAGATTGAGAACTCATTGATGGAGGAAGTGGTGCCTGCAGATCCAGATCAGCAAGTACAAGGGCAAGATGACGCTACAGGGGAGTCTGTCTCAAATTGGTCTTGGATGGGATGGCAATCCACTTGGCATTCCTGGAATGGGTGGCACGAGTGGAATGATAATCCAAATTCTACGGCATGGTCGTCTTCTACGTGGTCCTCGTGGTCTGGTACAACGTGGACGTCCACATCTTGCTGTTACTCAACGATGGGGATGACTTGCACAATGACGACCACCACTACCTCATCCTCTACCACGACCTTGTCCTCTACTTGGCCCGTGGTCCCCAACTTTGGCCTCTTCCCGGATGTCCGCCCGATCTCAGCGAATGGATCATCGCCGCCCTTTGTCCCGGCGGCCAGATCTGACAGCGAAGACGAAGACGACGTCATGTTGATGCAGATGACGAATGCTGAAAGGAGAAGTCTTCAGGAACGAGGAGTGCCACAAGCAATGATCACCAGACTGGAAGGCTTACTTCGCGCCTTGGAGCGTATGCAAATAGAAGGCCAGGGACCTGAAGGCAGATGGTCGATCAGTTGCTTGCACTCACGCCTTGTGGATGGGATCGAAGCTTTAGATGCTCTTCATGCCGTGATCTCCAGAAGATTCATCCCGCAAGGATACTTACCGGTGAGAAGGATCCCCAGAGCTGAGATGGACCAATGGAGATTATTCAATTGGGGGAGAAACTATGCAGACCTGTTCCTCAACACGTTGGAAGCAAACCTCAATGTCCGGTTGCAACCTGCCGATGTTCAACCTTCACCTTCTGCGCCCGCTGATTCGGTGGAATCCCAGAGTATTCATACGGACACTGGGAGGACAAGCCAACCCTCTTCCTCTACGACAGCTGTCAGCTCGGCCAGTGGAACGCGGAGGAGAGCTACCCGTCGTCGCGATCGTCGTACAAGATCGCGAAGCCCCTCTGGGACGAGTTTGTATGTGCCAACAATGGATAGTGAACTTGCGTACAACGAAGCCGGTGAACTGGTTGAAGTACCACCACGATCGCCTTCGGGTGGACCTTTTGGCCCTCCTCCTCCTCTACCGGTCAATTTTCCTGCCCCAGGTGAACTTCGTGGCTTCTGGAGAGAGCCGGAGCCGTCTGAGGAGGATGTCGAGGCAAGTGGCAGCAATGAAGGGGAACTGACTTCATCGACTACGACTACATCGCTGTGCAGTACCTGGTGGACTTCCATGACCAGCACCTCCACGACGAGCACCTCCACTGACTTGGACACCGATGCCGGAGTAGAATTGGCTGAGGGGACTTCTTTGCCCTCTACTTCCTCAGTGCCTGGTCTCGGTTTACACCCAGCTTGGGCCCAATCAACTACTGGGATGATGTGGACTACGACGAGCACAAGTAGCATCCCACCTACTATAACTTGGCCAACGGATGTCGTCCGAGACGTGGTCAACGTGAATGTCGTGCATGGTGGACAAGGAGACATCATTGAGCTCCTTCGTCGGCTTCTGGCTCGTATTCGTCGACTACGACATCAAGAAAGATTGCTTCTGGAGGCAATGGAAGAGACCATGACTTGGCTGCGATCACCGGAGGGCAATGTGATGATGAATGTTGCAACATTCGAGAGGAACATTTTTTGAAGCGGTGCAACGTGAAGCTCGAGCGGGATCAGGGCCAGCCACGATACCTGTTTCCACCTGGATTCTGGATCCGTCTGTCCTCCTCTCGCCAGACTTGCCAGTTGATCTAGAGGAGCTCTCTCGCCGTCTACCAGGAGTTGAACCTCATACAATTGCTGGTTACCGGAGACGGGCCTGGCGTGTCCATGTAGCTAGACTATATGCTGACGCCGATCTGGAAGTTCCAGTTGGAGGATGGCCTGCCGAAGATGACCGTGACCTCTTCGTCGTCCAACAGGATGAGGAGACGGGTGTCAGCAACTGGCCGGCCTCTGTTCCACTGCCAACATCGATACAACCAAGAGGACGACTTTCTCCAGAGAATCGCACTGCTGGCTCACTTGGTGCTGCTGATCATGCTCGTGCTGTTCATCGTGGTCGCCCTGCTCTCCACCAAAGACGTCGTCATCATCTCCCTCGCGACCCTCCTCGGTTCGTACCGACGAATACAAACCCTTTACTTGCACAAGTACCAGGCGGCGAGGACATGGTTGTGACTTCTATGACTCCATTGTCCCTGTTGACAGCTCCTAGTGGATCTCTCGGTGGCACATGGGCTCATCCTTCTCTCTCCCAGAATCGAACTCGCGATGTGCACCTTCGTGACTCTCCTGGGCTTCCACCTGGCAATCGTCGTCCAGTTCGTGATCTTGGTCCATCTGCTGCCCTACCTGAATTTCATGGTGAAGCTGGAGGCCACGTACCTGCTGTACATGTAGGTGAACCGGAGTCTGAAGTTGATGGTCCTCGTCCCCAGGTCTTGCAGTCGGAAGAGTGGATACGCAATGCCCGTCGTCGTGCGGCTTCTTCATCCTCATCGCTTCGTCGTGATAGAAGCCGTGATCGTAGTCGCAGCCGTGATGAATGAGATGTGGCTCCTCTCTCTGTTGATCTTTGCTCTCAACTTGAAGATGTTCTGAGAGGCACCCCCTTTAATCAGTGTAAGCCCTTTGGCGGGCTGTGGACCTGCTCTTCGTGCGGAGTGGAGAAAGAGCCAGTACACTTTAAAAAAAAAAACTCCCTGTCAGCTCAGGAAAGAGCCACACCTCTTCGACTGGGCTGCCGGCAGGCTGCGATGGACGAGGTCGTCCTGGCTTCAGCAGGAGATTTGGTAAACTGCGGGTCCCGAAAATTCGGGATGCAACTGTAAGTGTGCCAAATGGTGCTTTTTATGTATAGAGGGAGAGAGAGAGAGAGAGAGAGAGAGAGAGAGAGAGAGAGAGAGATAGAGAGAGAGAGAGAGGGAGAGTCGGGTTTCACAAAAGGGACCCTGACATTAGTCATTAGGGCTCCTTTTTAGGGGTTCTGATATCAAGGATCCGGTTCAGGCTCAAGATTGGAAACGATACAGTTTAGGCCCCTTGAACGATGCAGCCTACTGCTTGAAGGGTATAGCTTTGTTTGGGTAATCTACTAGTCAGGTAACATGTAGGATCCAGGGCGGGGTGAGGTCTCCTACCCAAACGCTTGATGGATGTCCTTTGGATTCTGGCTGTAGGGTCAAGGCTTTCATGTGTTGAGTTTGAAATCCTAAACCCTAAACCCAGTTTTTGTTTTTTTATTTTTTGTGTGTGTGTGTATGTCGTGCTGTTGGTTTGTGGTCACGGTACGCAAAGACAGTAGATTCGGTTCGGTTCCTGCCGCATTTCGTTGTAGATATGTACAGGCATGCGCTTCCAGATGCCTTTCCTAACAGTGCTGTTTGGCCTTTCGTAACAGTGCTGTTTGGGCTGAACAGTGGTTTGCCACCGTTTGCAGACTTCGCAGTCGGTGGTCAAATTCAAGTATTTCCGCATATGTGTTGGAGAAATGATGTTAGAATTCTGGTTGATGTGATGTTTACTAGCAGAGTTCCTTTCAAGAGGGCTCCTTTGATCAAGAGGTTCTAGGAAAGATAACCCCTAATCCCAAAAGCCTAATCTGCTAAAGCCTCAAACCCCAAAGCCCTAAAGCGCTGTACCCCTAAAGCCCTAAACCTCTGAACCCTAAAACCTGAAACCCCCTAAACCCCAAACCCTAAGCCCCTAAATCCCTAAATCCTAAACGCTAGTTCAGCGGCCGAGGTATGGTTTGGTGTCCATGCAGCGGGACGAGGTATCCGGTTCTCTGTAACAGCTGCTTCTGCTTCTCCATGTATTTACCGCAGACGACCTTTAAACCAAACCTCCGAAATCCCGCGCACTTTAAATCCTCAATCGTACCCTCCTCCCGCAAAGGTCCGAAACCCCACAAAACATATATAAGTCACAAAAACGCTATAAGGCCTGTAAGCCACAAGCCCCTCAATCACAAACCCTTAAACCCTATAGACCCTGCAGTATCGAACGCCAAACTCTTAAACCCTATAGACCCTGCAGTATCGAACGTTCGGATATGGAACACGAGGTTTGTCTTTCGGGTTTGCCGTGTAGATTTCATCAAACAGTGAGGTCACAGTTTCCTGCTGCAGGCATCAGCAGCTGGCATCATGAGCAATGCTTTTGCCGATGGTCCGAGTTTAGCAGCCATGTAGCAAGGCCAGTCATGTCTCCGCATGTTGTTCCACCACGTGCACTAAACTTCACTAAACGCCCACAGATCCAAAGGGCCAGCCTACGATCATGAACAAGACCGGAGTTTCCCCAAACCCCTAAGCCCTAAACTGTTATTCTCATCCTGCAACCCATGATAGATCATCGCGGGATCCCTAAGCCCCGACCAAAGCCTTCAAGCCTAAAGCCTCGACCCCTAAAGCCCTGTAGCCCCCCTACACCCCTAAAAGCCCCAAAATCCCTGAAGCCCGAGAAAAAGGGGTCTTGATAATTACCTATACCATCTTCTGGGCTCCTTGTTATAGTCATAGTATAATGGACCCCAAAACCCTATTCTAAATATTAAGGCCCTTACATTATAGTTCCTAAGCCTGAAGACCTAAGTAAGGTTATAAGTACCCTAATAATTGGAGTTATAAGTATAGTTACCTTATTTATAACCCTGGTTACTAAGTCCCATGATCCTCCAAGTAAGCCCCTAAACCCTAAATCCCCATAGATCCCTTATAGAACCCTTTAAAAGGAGCCCCTTAAGGAACCCTTTAAGGAACCCTTTAAGGAACCCTAGGTCCCATGATCCTCCAAATATAAAGCGCTGGAAGGTCTACGCTGGTGGTCAGGGAGACTTGCAGGCTTCCCTGAAGCTGATCGAGAAGCAGCTGGACGGTCTTGCTTTAGGGTTTTTAGGTTTCAGGGGGTTTAGGGGTTTAGGGTTTTAGGGTCTAGAGCTTTAGGGGGTTTAGGGTTTGAGGGTTTAGGGGGTTTGAGGGTTTAAGGGTTTAGGCATCTGTTTTGGGCTTCTTTTTGGTTGATTAGGGGTTTACAGCACGGATTGCAGCTCAGGGCTCGAGTTGTGAGAGGTTTTGGTGTCTGTGTAAAGCTTACAATGAGGTGTGAAGACTGATGAAGTCAAGGCTGTACTTCCCAGGTTTCTGGATGCCAACCATCCGTGATCATCAGCGCCTTTCGGCTTGTCTTCGTGACTGTAATGCTTTCTCCGTCATATGAACCCGGACAAGGGATAAGACAGACGTGCATAATTACTAGGATTTGGATGCAAGGCTCGTGGCAAGGTTTGGGAGTCGTTTCGTCGGCTGTTTGCTGGCGAAACCTCGAAGCCCTGCAAAAAACTGTGAGTTAAGAGCCGATGCCTCAGACCGTAGCCAAGCTAGCAGTATGCCTGTGGATTCTGTACCGTCGAAGAACACCCCCTACATGAACGGATTTTTGAACACTGCTCCTGAACGCCTGAGGGTTTTTGTGCTTGCCCTCCTTGGGACGGAGTGCGGCACATGAAAAGAGAGTAATGTTCGATGCACGGCCGGGTTGATGAATTCCATTGAAAGTCTCAGACACTGCGCCATCATCTGTGCTACTATGCAAGCTTAAGTAGTTCCTTATTTACAGTTCTCTACGGCCCCCTTTCAAAGTTTCAACCTAACATACGCCAAATCATATTCTGACTGTTAACGCCTCGTACCTAAACCTTGCAAGCCGCATACCCAGTATCCCTTGAAGACCCCTTCAACGGAATCCCTCAAAAGGAACTCTTTTTGTCGGAGCGTTTATCAGATCCCTATACTAGGATGCCCAGTAGTACCCTTATTCCCTTTCTGTAGTCCTAGGTTCCCTATAAAGTTACCCAATACCAAAAAGAGAGCCTTGTTTATTCCTAGGTTACTGGGCATCCTACGGTTGATGATATAAATCCTGCATTACCTTAAGGACCCTAAACTATGGGAATTAAGGTATATTCCTTGGTATGGCTAATGCGGGATTTGGATCATCCACCGGAGTAATTATTAGTACCCTTCTTCCCTTATTGTAGTCCCAGATTCCCTATAAAGTTGCTTATTCCTAGGTTACTGGGCATCCTAGTATAAGTCCTTTGAAGCTTTCGGCCACGGAGGCTCCACCCTCTCCTCCGCGTAGATCCGAGGCTTCGGGTCGAATCTATGCTCCCAGAGACTCCAATATCTCTTAAGGAATACATAGGGTTCCTTTAAGGGATCTATAGGCTTAGGGTTTAGGGGATTCTAATATCTCTTAATTAAGGAATATTCCTTAAATTATAGTAGGATCCCTAATATGATTTAAGGAATATTCCTTAACTTATAATAGGATCCCTAACATGATTTAAGGAATATTCCTTAACTAAGGGGTATTGGAGTCTCTGGGCTGTCGGAGAGATTTCCCGAAGGCTCCATGTGCCTTTAGAGTAGATACGTAAGCCTTAAAGGGTCCCTATATAGGTACTTTAACGCCTACCTGAAAGACCAAATGACCCTTAAAAGTAGGGGCCATGTACCCATATACTATGAATCCCTATATGGTATATGAACCTTAAACCCTTTTAGGGTTCATTTCGTCCTTAAGATAAGTATATACAATAAGGGTACATGGAGCCTTATAGGGGGTTGGGCAGGTTCC